GCTGCTGAAATCACCGAGCTACCCGGGGAGTTTCCGTGTCTGAGGGTCCCTGAAAGAAGGAGGTCTTAGAGCACCTCATTGCTCTGCTGCTGCTGGCTCTGGGCACCATATGGCTCTTGCAGGGCCCCTGCGTCTGATCAGAGCTCTTGGTGGACTGCTTTAAGTAGCTGATACAAGAAACAGCCAACCATTTTTGCTGGGTTAATGTTTGTTGTTGTTGTCAGGTCAGCTGAGCTAATTTAGTGGCCGTCATTAAAGGATACCAGTCTCAGAGCTCCAAGGAGTAGAGCAAGCGCTGGGACTGCTGGTGGGAAGAAGGAATTGCCAGGGGAGGTTTCCTCTTTCGGGCAGTGTTGGATTGACTGTTAGGTGGTCTCATGGAGCAGCATCCTGGGGCTGCAGGCCCCATTAGCTTCTGGTTGCCCTCAGCCAGCCCCTTCCTGGCTGTTTCCTTTGGGAATGAGAAGTCCTGCTGTGAGGCTTTGATAGATGTGTCAGGCTGCTGCCTGCCTGCAGCCCCGTTTTGTTCCTTTGGAAGAGAGGCTGGTGGAGCTGGACTTCGGGAGCAACCGTGTCCCGTGCCACCCAAGGGCTGTGTGGAGGCAGAGCAGCCTGAAGCCAAACCCTTCAGAGCAGTGTGTGTTGTATCCCTAGGGTGCCCGGTAGCTCTGCATACACGCACCTTTCGGTGCCTTCTTAGACTTGCATTGTTTTGCAATAACAATATGTTGAATATATATTTACTTTTAACGGCATGGAAACGTTGAACACTGCACTCTCTGAGATGTCTGCAACTTCTAGATTGCCAGAGTTGGTTGTGCTGTTTGACCTGAGCAACTGACCGACTCTATCGCAAATCCATGGAGATCAACCGAGGATTTGAGTGGTTTTACATATAGATAGATAGATATAGATAGTGGGGACATGTATGCTGGTATTTATAAAAATGAAAAAGAGGTGTTTACACAAATTGGTTTTGTACTTATTCCTTCAGGGCTCCCATGTTGTCTCTTTGTCCTTCCTTTAAAGGATCTCATCACGTGCGCCAGGCGTCTCTTGTAGCCCTCCACGATGGAGTGCAGCGCAGCCCAGCAGCCCGCAGGCCCTTGCTGTCTGAGCCTGCCCACGAATAGGGCAGAGGGCCCAGAGGCCGTGGCTGGCGGGGCTTGGGGGACGTGTTGGGTAGACCTGCGTGGGGCTTGGGAAGGGGTGTGCAGGGCTGGGGGGCAGGATCCCCCTTCCCGGGGTTGCCCGGCTGCCTTTGAGCCAGCGGCTCCGAGGCAGAGTTAGCTGGAGCTCCGGTGTGAGATTTCCTGCTGCTTCCATGCTCAGCTTGTCCCATCCTTTTTTGAATGCRTTTCGGATTTGTATAATGAGGCAGGAAATTCTTTCAATGTCAACTATTATGTGAAGAGAGCACTCCCTGATTGAGATATATACTTGTGCGTGTGTATATATACAAACATATATATAATATAATATATATATGTGTATATATATATTATATACACATATATATAATGTATATGTTTGTATATATATATATACACACACATATATATATAATATATATGTTTGTATGTATATGCTTGTTTTTAAGGTAACATGTTTTTCACACTGAGGTGCTTCCAGGTCTGATTTTCAGGGGAATACTGAGTGAGCCTTCCCAAGTTATTTTTCCCATAACACTTGAGACTCTCCTCAGATACWTTATGGGAGGCAGCTTAAGACTGATCTAAGGGGTGCTGAGAAGCAACAAGTGAGTTTAAACTGGTGATATAAAAGGTAGGCTGGCAGTTAGAAAAGGCTTTTGCTATGAAGAATGTGAAGTCCTGGGAAAATGTTACCTCAGGAGAACATAATCAGCTCTCAAAATGGAGCTTGACTGAGTCATGAAGGAGATTATGTGTGAAGTGCTTGTCTGTGATAGCAGGGAGCAGGATTTGAGCCTGGCCTGACATGGTTCTGTGTAGCTGGATTTAGAAGTAATCATGATGTGTAATGTATGGAGACTGGGCTAGGGGATGTAAGAAAACTGCTCTGAGATTTTTTTTTTTTTTTTTTTGGTTCTGTGTAGCTGGATTTAGAAGTAATCATGATGTGTAATGTATGGAGACTGGGCTAGGGGATGTAAGAAAACTGCTCTGAGATTTTTTTTTTTTTTTAATACCAAAGTTATGTAAAATACATGCAGTGTGATTTGTTTGACTTTTGGTACAACCTCTGTAAAGGTCTCTAGGCTATTNAGAAAGTATTTAAACTAGGGGACTTTCCTCACTTTGCTTTTCAAGTCTCTTAATTGCCTTGTGATATAAAATAAGAGCTATTGTAGTTGAGCTCATGGATTTAGAAGTAATCATGATGTGTAATGTATGGAGACTGGGCTAGGGGATGTAAGAAAACTGCTCTGAGATTTTTTTTTTTTTTTAATACCAAAGTTATGTAAAATACATGCAGTGTGATTTGTTTGACTTTTGGTACAACCTCTGTAAAGGTCTCTAGGCTATTGGTCTTTTTAGAAAGTATTTAAACTAGGGGACTTTCCTCACTTTGCTTTTCAAGTCTCTTAATTGCCTTGTGATATAAAATAAGAGCTATTGTAGTTGAGCTCAAGGAATGTTTAAGGTGCTGAGAAGGAACAGACTTTCATTTTCCCCGGAAGCAGAATAATTCTGCCCACTTTAATCTAGGGGATCTGCTGCTCTGAACCTTAGGTCTTCATTCATAGATTATCTTTTCTTTAAAGCCAGAAGGAATCRTTTTCCTTAATCTGTACTTTATCAGTAGCCTTTAAATTTCATTGAGTTGTTCTTTTAATGAGCCAGGCAGGTGTATTTCACATAAAGTTTCTTTCCCCACATAAAGATTTCTTGTAATGATTTGAATAAGGACATGAAAAATGTAGAATCATTTGCTTTCCTTTAGAATTTATTCCATTCATGATTTTCTCTGTTTAATAATAAGGGGGAAAAAATGCTGTTTGGGGAATTTTGCTGCTTACTGAGTGAAGTGTATTTAGTTTCAGCCTTTAAAGAAGGACATGTGATAGCCCTGTAAATTAAAGGGCTGTCAAAGGGATAAACAGGTAAATTAGTGTTGCTGAAATACTTGGTGACAAAGTATCCCAGTGTTGTTAAAGAAGATTCGTGTGTGTGTTTAAGTCTTTTTGCCCATGTGTTGGGATTGATGGGGGACAACTTGTGTGTTTTAGCTTTCAGGTGGCCGTTTCACTCCAYGGCAAATTCAGTGTCCATGTGCTCCCTCTAGTGTCCTTTGGAGGTTAGCAATTGAGAAAAGTGTTAATAGCCCTCAACACTGCTGCTTTTAGTTCTTTTCCATAAGAATTCGATTAAAGGTGTTCTTTGCTTGAATTGAACTCCAGAAAGGTATCTTCCAATCTGTAAAAAACTAGTCCTACTAAGGAAAAGAAATATATTTTTTCAATAGTGTTTTTTTTTTAGTCTGATAATGTAGTTTCTGCCTTACAGTTARTATCATTTATTCTTAAGGAAGGGGAGCCCGTGGCATGCTGGAAATAGGAAGGAATAGGAATGTGCTGTTGRCAGCACATCTGCCAGGTGTGACATCCACCCCGTCCGTAGGAAGCCCCTTTCCCCTTGGTGTGGCTTCGTGCAGCYTCCAGGATCTGCCTCCATCCCATACTCGGTGCTCCTGGTTGTTCCTGTGGCAGGTGTTATTGTTGTTTTCCAGGGTGTACTTAGAGGTGTCCGGCTGATGCCCGTGGGGCATCCAGAGGGATCGGAGCCTCCCAGAGCCGCGGGCCCGGGGGTGATTTGACACCGCTTTAGGCTGAGCCGAATTCACTGGCTTCAGTGGATATGACCTAGGATGTTTTAATGTTTTCAACTTGTATTTTTTTTTCCTTCTACTCCCTTTGCCCCCTTCTCCCTTATGCTCAGATTTTTGGATAGTGATGCTTCCTTTCGTAAMAAAGTGTTTATTTCAAGCAGAATTTCAACATCCCCTATCCTTTTGCCGGTGTTTAGTTCAGTTTAAATAGAAAAACACTTAGAATGGACTATCTCAGGTTTAGGCCTGGTGCCAGGCTAATTCAAGCCCTCTAGTTCAGCTGCTCTGCCTTGGCCATTTCAAATGACGGTGCTTGGTGCCCGGAGGAGAATTACTGTCTGTGGGGTTTGCTTTTGTTTTCCTCCTCACCCCACTCCCTCCCTGCACCCTCTGAGGTTTTAGTAGTAGAGCTTGATATCCTGTGTCCTCAGTAATTAGTTTTTGTGAAGCAGATAAGGTTTTAGGAGATTAAGCTCAAAACGGTGCACCATTGTGCTGCAGTAAAGGGTGAAAGGTAGTGGTTAAGAATCCGCTCTGGTAAGTTATCTAGCACTGAAGTGTCAATTAATTATACTTTGTAATGTGTGTTTAATTTTGGTTCTTGCAACCAGCATTCAGTATGGCAGAGGGGTAGACTGGTTTTGTCAGTTGTGTGCATGCCAGATGGAGCCTTAATATGTGTCAGGAGATAAATGGGCCATTATTAAGATTAGATGCATAATGATCATTTCGGCCTTCTTTATTTAGGTCATCAACAACAGTAGATGAGGATCTCTTASAAGTAAAAAATATTTAGGGGTCAGAGCATCTTCTGCTCTTCTTAGTTTGCTTCCAAAGTAAATGTAAAAGATGTAAAAGTAAATGTTAAAGTAACAAAGTTAACTTTTAAAATATTTTTCCGTTCTCACCTAAGTAAACTGGACACCAAAAATTATTCTAACGGTGCCTTCAAATTTGTGACCCAGACCAGTGAAAATGGTTTTGTGTTTAAGCAGATTAGTAATTTCTTAGATACAGGATAATGAACGCAGGAAATGCATATTTACCTAGTGTTTTGTGAAAATCTCTTTTATTCGCTAGGCAACATCTCGTTATTTATGTATTCTTACAATAATGTCTGCTGCAGCATTGSACTTTTCTTGCACTAGTGGAAGACGTTGGTGATGCTGACGGTGTGTGTTTAATTCCAGGTTGCCGTGTAAGGTTGTGGAAGTCATCGCTCCCGCGCATCACAACGGAATGGCCAACGGCCACGTCGGCGGCGCCGATGGAGACACGATTGTCATCAGCGATAGCGATGATTCAGAAACTCACAATAGCTCTGCACAAAATGGGTAAATTACACTTTTATGGTAAAAAGCATTTGGGTTAGGGGAAGATGAGACTACAGCAGATGTGGCAGGGTCCRGCTGGGGCAGATGACCTGGCTTGTMGGGGCTGCAGCCCTTGAGTGCTCGTCCAGCCCAGAGTGACAGGCTGAACATTCACSGGTGCCTTATGCTCTTGTGGCTGTTCATGCTGTGCATAATGCACCGAAGAACTGAGTGCTGTGAAAGATGGAGTACCTGCAAAATAATGGGTATTCATCTCTTTAGAATGACAGTGTCTCTGGTGACACAGAGAGTGAGAGCCATGCGTGTCTGTCACTAGTCCTCTCTGTGCKGCAGAACTTAATGCTACTGTATCTTGGAAAACACAGTTACTTTCTGCATTTCCACACTCTGCTGCTACTTGGTGTGGGCACTGTTTCACCTATATGCACATACACTACTTCTGCTATATTCCTATATGCATTTCCATTGCCAAGGTCAGAATAGAGATRGCTGTGTAGTAACAGAACTTGGTCTTGTGGGCATTCTGGAGGGAGATGATCGTTTTCTATGTATTTATTTATTTAATGCTCTATTTAAGAGAATAGTCTCTTCAGGGACTTGGTGTGTTTTTGTCCAATACAGAAAAGTATACAAAGTTTTCATTATTTTAGATGTGTGTATGTGTATATATAAATATAGTAGCTCATGGATTTGAGTATGATTTTAGGTGCACTGTGTGTTTCTTGTCTTAAAGAATTGTGTATATGCTWCTGTGGCTTAATGATACTGAATAAGAGAGCTTGACTGTAATTCTGGTGTTTAATTTGGAAGATCCCTTTGCTGGCCAGCAATTGAGTTTAAATAAGCAGTTTGTTCCAGGAGCATAATGTGAAGACAGATCTCTGTGCTTCATAGGCACARTGTGTGTAAAAGAAAAGGCTTGAAATGGGCCCCAGTCTCGTAGCTGGCAACRTAGATGCTGACAACGGGCTTTATATGAACTGTCATTGACTGAATTGTCACGTGAGCACTGCAGTCAATCTGTCATTGATTGCTGCGTGAGGACTTCCACGTCCTGACATGCCTTGAATAAATAAGGAGGAGCTCCTTATGTGGCTGGAGAAATAACTTGCAACTTTTATCCCACATGATGTCATTTTAAGGTAGCGCTCAARTTGTTCATGAGGCAATGCTATGTCTTTGAGCAAATAGGTGCATTTTCTGTGCTCTGCAAGACGTGGCTTCTGAAGGATGTTATTCTTGGGATGAATACAGGCGTGCTCAGCGCAGAGCTCCCTGCAGGACTGATCCCTCTCTAGAGCCATGCCCTCCACCTTTGCAGAGCTCGTGATAACACTGGGGCTGATACCCGTCAGTCCGTAGTGCTCCCGGATGACTGCTTATTCCGGCAGTGCAGAGAAGGGAGGAAGTCTAGTTTGCCTAGAAAAGTCTAGTGGAAATGAATGAATATRTTTTTGAAGCACCTTTCTGAGGCATACCTGATAAGCATCTATGCTATAAAATAAATTGCAAACCTCGTACAGTTTTAAAATGTCAAGTAAAAGTCCCGAGTTAGCATTTCTCTAGGAAATGCAAGAGTTCAGTAAGAGTGAATAGTTTTTTGGGAATGTTCAGATTTCATAAAGTGTACGTCAGTGTAGGGTGTTGCAGTCAGTTTTCGCATATTGGCATCGAGCACCCTTAATACCCCTGCTCAGGCACTGAGCGACCCCACTGAGCTGACATTCTGCAGCCCTGATCCGTGGGGCCGGATGCCGCTGGAAGTGGCGGGCAGGGGCCGCAGCGGGACACGGGCTCCGCTCGGACACGGCGTTTTCCCCGCGCGTCGTCGAGGAGGAGCCACCTTTGCACAGTCAGTGGGGCAGCAGATGCTGCGTGGGGGCGGGGAGCGCCTCGCACAGATTGATGAGCCATCTGCAAATATTTTTCCTGAAGAATCCGGGAGGCCAGAGAATCTTAACTGAAAATAGACGTCATTAGAGATCCCAACCTTTCTGTGACCCTGCTCTTGTTTGCTCGGGGCGGCAGTAGCCGAGTATTCRGCGAAAGGACTGACCTTTTGCGTGGTGTTCTGCAAGAAAACCTGTGGTTACAYGTGGAGAGAGGGGCAGCGACGCTCCGAGTGTGCCGAGAGTGCAAAAAAGAGGCCACCTCGTGAGCCCTGAGTTACAAAGCAAAGTGGTCCTGGGTCTGGAGGGGTTGATGCTGCGCTCCTTGGAGGAGCGGTGTCGGCGCGAGCAGCCTTTGCGGCCCCGCTCTCGTCCCCAGCAGCATCTGTGTCACTGTAAGGTCACAAGTGGCAGCAGACGGGGCTCTGGGAAGCCTGTGCTGCCACATGGATATGCAGTGCCTGCTGCAGCCAGTTCATGCCTTTCCCTTTGCCCAGAGCCCGAGAAATGGGAACTGCGACCACATCAGGAATGCTGGAAAAGAAATCTCTCGGCTTGTCAAGCTAGTTTCTTGTAGTAGGTTTGGATGCTCTGAGTTTTTTCTGTGAAGGTGTTTTTGTAGTGGTTTGCTGTTTTATGTAATGCTTCATAAATGCAGATGTTTCTACTCGACTGGTGTGCCAAAGCATTTAAAGGATCGATATGTAAAAAGTTTAAAATTTATGTATCAAATTTTTCTTACTCTTGTGCTTTAAGCAAGATTTAGACTGAGGATTTACAGAGGAAGACTTAGGAATGTGCTAACTACTAAAACCTCAGGAACTAAACAGGAAAAACAGTATATTTGGGAGCTAGGTTGGGCTGTTACAGATAACCTGCAAAACATGAGAGAAGAACTTTTTCAAAACAGAAAAAAAGACTAGTAAGCGTTAACATTTTGATTATTCTGTGTCCTGCTTTCAGTTGCAGACTGTATTGGACCTGGCAGTCTACTTAATGTGTATGAATAAGATAAGATGCTTATAGTATAATATTGGCACTTTTAGTTTAATATCTTTTGTGTGTCTGAACATTATATATAATAAAATTTCAGTATTTGAGTCTTTTAGACTATTAAACCAAAGACCTGGAAATACAGGAGTATATGATGAGGAAACAAGTAGGGATTTGCTACTGTTTAGGAAATCCTCTTGCAACAGTGTTCATTATCTTTCCTTTCTTGAGACCATAGATGATCATGAAGACCATGTTGCCACAAGAACAAAATACAAAGGTCCTCAACTTACAATATTTTATATAAGACTTTTGAGAAAGTCTTCATTTCTTTTAAATTAAATTAATATAGCAAACATTTAAATAATGAGATAGCGGCTAGATAATTTTAACAGATTTTAAATTATAGGCTAGTACAATGGCTGAAACATTTAACTTTTGCTAAATTGGATGTACTGAATTATTCTTTACAGCATGTTTCTGGGTTGTTTTGCTATTTTGATTAGCTTTTTATTTATTTTTCTTAAGTTGATCTGAGTGACTCAACTTAAAGCTTCAACTCAGAGAATAACATACAGGTAAAGCAGGTTGTTTATATCCAAGTGCTTATCAGTAGGTCTGATAAAGCTTGACTGTTTCCAAGTCTGCTTTCTTGTTTGACTTTGTTGATCATTTAATCATTGACATGCTGTTTTTATTTTATTTATCTTATTTTTTTTTTAATTTGAGAGATCTGCTCTCCCATTTGGCCCCCCTTCTCCTCCCTTCACCCCAAACAAGACACCGTTCCCCACATCCCTTTTCCTGTGCTTTGCAGATACTACTGTTGGCTTTGGTGCAGATTTAAAGCTAGTGAGCTGTAAGAAATTATAAATCCTCTTTTGTTCCAGTGGAAGTTACATACTGTGTTAAAGATGATTATTTTCAAGAGGTCTACTCTGTGTGTGTATATGTTTTACATAAAATACATATATCTTGTATAGTATCTATACTACTTAGACATTATATACATAAATCTCAGACAATTACGTAAAGATTGATATTCTGTGATTGTGTAATTAACTTCTTTTTGTTTTCATTTCAGGAAGAAGAAAGCCATAATTGATCCCTCTTTGTTCAAATATAAAGTCCAGCCTATTAAAAAAGAACTGTATGAATCTGTTATTGTTAAAGCATCTCAGTTAAGGTAAAAATGGTATATGAAAGTTAAAGTTGTGTCTTATGAACAACTATGTGAAGGTATAAGTTGCTATAAGGATATTTTTGATACAAAATAGTAGTTTTTAAGTAATATTATAGAATTATTAGAGACACTAGAACAATATATAGTCATTAAAGCAGCTATTAAAGGTTCAAGAATTTAGTGGAAAACTAAATTGTGAAGGGCTGTGTGCATGTATGTGTACATAAAAGAGGACATACTTTTTTGCCTGTTTTTTTGTTAATGTAGATGGTTCATCAAAATTCTGTGATTTCGATATTTTGMGAAAACTTCTCTGATCTCAAGTCATTTCAGTTCCAGTACGAGTGTTTGAGATGGAGTTAGTTTTCTTCATAAATTACTTTCTTGTCATCAACAAGTCACGTGATGTATTTGGCCCTCCTTCGGTAAATCATCCCTATTTTCCAGTGCATTTAAGCTCATATTAAACTTTAAGGTACTCAAGTACTTCAGGTGGTTTTTGTAAACATTTTTTAAAATTGTTTTTAATTTAAAAAACTATTTTTTAATCTTTTAATTAATTTTATTTGCTCTTTATGTTACTAGGTTAGAAACAACATTAGAGTATGTGACAGGATAAATAGGCTTTTGAGTGGTGTGTGTGTGTGTGCACATGCATATGTGCATAAAAGAGGACACGCCATGATGTTCACAACAAACATCATAGATTCATAAAACAATTATTTAAGTCCTACTTGCTTTTTTTGTTGGTTTGTTTTTGTTTACAAGGATATTTCATTGGGATTGCTGAGAACAGTTACTAGTTACAGTAGTAAGAGTGTAGTTTAGAATTAATAAAATAGCAAAAAGCTTGARATCATAAGCTCTATTACATGTGTTCTTGAACATATTGTCTGCTGTATTTAAACAACAATAAAAGTAAGTTAGCTGATAATGTTCCTTTTCTTTCCTCATACAGCCGGAGGAAACATCTCTTTTCTCGTGAYAGACTTAAACTTTTCCTGAAACAGCACTGTGAAGCACATGATGGAGTCATTAAAACGAAGGTAAATGCTTAGTACTTTCCAAGTAGTTACTTAAATTATCTTTCTGAAGTACATCTTGTCTAGCTTTTTCTTCATGTTCCTGTGTAGCTTCATTCTGTACAGGAAAGTGCTAAGGGATGAGGGCATCAGTGAGTCTTGCCACTGAAATTTGTTGAAAATGTCAAATGCAACTTTTTTTTTTTAGATGTATTTGTACCTTTAGAGTCTGTCTCTCTCAGAGAAGTAGAAGAATACGGTTTAAAGGGGGTTGGATGGCAAGTTTAGGCTGTCCCTTGTTTGGGCTGCTTTCAAGAGAGGATGTTCTTGATGCAGAAGAGTGGGACACAGTGTGCTGCGTCTGTGACCTGTCAATTATTTGTCACTTTCTGCTACCTGATGAAAATTGTGACGTTCTGTATATGTTTGCAATTCTCATCTGTTTGTTTGAGGGCTTTTGGAGCGTCTCYTTGTTCTGTTGTCGATTGCTTCTCGTTTCCGCACATACATGGACTTGTCCTCACTCCAGTSCTTTGTATCTGTATCAATATCACGATAGGGGCAGGCTTCCCAAAGTCACCATTTGAGGAAGCTGATTCAAAAAGAAACCTTGACAACTTAGAGAAAAGATGATAGTTTTTCCCCTTCTTCAAAATAGTTTAGTTGTGAATTTCTTCAGTAAATTGTTTTCTCTACCTTCTCTGTCAAAAGTCACCCCTACCACATTCCAGTAATTTACTGGAAAGTCTGGGTCCAGCTGTGTTTGTTAAAAGGTATCTAAATAAACATGATTTTTACCAAATGAAGCCAAATTATTTGCTCAAACGTGCTGCTTACATTATTACCCTCTTGCTGAATTAACTCTACTTTTATACCATTTTGGAATCTTTTCTGCTTTCTCTCAGCCAACGAATTGTGAATTTGTAACTTGCCTTCTGTGTCTGAATTCCTGGTACATAAAAGTTTTTTTTTTTTTTTTTTTACCTATGAAGAGGTAACAATTTCACAATAAATACCTGTTTTCATCTTTCTCACTAAGGCTGCATCAATTGCAAAGTACAGTCTAGCAGAACAAAATTTCTCGTACTTCTTTCCCGATGACCCACCGACATTCATCTTCAGTCCTGCAAGCAGAAGGCGAGGGAGGCCTCCAAAGAGGGCCTCTCTTAGTCAGGTAAGCAATGAATAAAGTTTTAATTTCTGATGAAAGCAGCAGTAGAGTCTTCTGTATTCTTCCATCTCCTGTATGAACTTTCAGGAGAATTGGAATGCAAAGCTGAAACTGTGCCTCTCCTTCCTCCCTTCCTTGGGTTTGATTTGGGAAATACTGCATCAAATAGATTGGTTTATGTTTAAGGAGAAAGTAATCAAACTTAATGTTTATCTTCTGATTTCTGGGATCCCACCAAAAAATCAGCTTTTCAGTGTGTTGTGAAGGTGTATATAGCACTTGTTCCTTCAGGATGGTTCATAAATAATCTAAAAATCTTTAATTCATACTTTCAGATGCAGTTAGTTAACTTGGCTTTTTTTTTGAACAACATAATGCTCTTAAATGACCTTATTCACAAAGCCAGCTGTGGAAAAAATATATATATATTTTTTACTATTAGAATTTCTACTATTAGAATCTTTACATAGTTAGTATGTTTGTGAGAAATGATTTTTAGCTTCTCTTTCTGCTTCTTTTAGAGAACTGTTGAAAATGGGGAGTATCTGTTGCAGGTCATATCACTGTACATACCGTGCTTTTTCTCACTGCTCTCCCCAAACTCCCTGTTAGGAGGACAAGGTTACTGCTAAACAAAACATCCCAGGAAACAGAAGTAAAGGAGCCAAGGAAAAGACGAGATTCCAGAGGCAGAAAGAAGAAATGCAGGCCATGGGTGAGTTGAGGTTCAGTCCTATGACTGGCAGAACCAGTTTTTGCAGGTTGCAGAGGTGACCATAATTAGTGTATTTTGGGGTCATGTCTTTCAAAGGGAAAAGCATAATAAGAGTGCAATGCCACAGCACTGTGGCAAAGTGCTCCTCTCTGTGGCTGGAATTGTTGCTTCCCCACTCTTTTACTGTCCTGTGGAAATGTATGGGGCTTTCAGGCAAACTATGTTGGGTCTCTATCTCAGCTAAGTAACGAGTGGGTGTCTGTCTCAAATAAATAATGAGCAAAGCAAAAATTTGGGGAGAAKTTTGGGTTTCAGGGCAATGTATATTTCCTGACTGTCTGTATAGCATGTGCTTTTAACACAGAAACAATCTGTGGTATGAGGAAATCTATAAATAGAAAAGCTACCTTAAAATTAAAAAGATGCAATGCTTTCTGAAACCTATAATAATCTGTAAGAAAATCCTTACATTAAACACTTGAGTCATTCTGAAGATGTCTTTTTGTAGACACTGGTGGTATGTCTGTGTGTTCTGCAGAATTATTTCAAATATGTTTACAGATTTTTGTAGGTAAAAGAGTACAAGTCACTTTGGAGGTTTTTATTTCAGACTGAATCATTTTGGCTTAGCTGTGTTCTATTTCTAATCTATTTAAACTTAGTTTCAAGTAAGATAAAATGACTCGTACCTTGCATATGTGTTTAACTAAGTAAATTGGCGTTTCTTCTTGTGGAGACAAAACAGTGAAACTCCTYCTTTCTCAGACAAGGTGTTTTTCTTAACTGAAAACCTTTCCTGAGGAAGAACATCATTGCTTACATTTGCGAAAATAATTTAAATTTTCAAKTTCTACCTTGTATTTCTATTACCATATGAGCATAGGTTGTTTTTAGGATGTAAGGAATGTTATGCCAACTCCATACATAAAGCAGGACTAACTAAATTTGACTGTGACTGCTCAGGACCTTATCTTTACAGCGGATAGGGACATCAGGGTATAACCAGCCCTTCTAAACTCCTTTGCACAGAGAACATCTATTTCTTATATGCTATAAATGACAAGCCAGGAGAAGCTAGCAATGGAGCAGTACCAAAGATTCATCACTATCAGTGCTCAGCTTCAGCAATATCAAACATCACGTGTGGTGCCATCTGCAGCTTTTCCAGTTTAGTTAAGACATGTTTTCTTTGCCTTATCCTGTTGCACCCCGTAAGGCAATGCTCACAAGGTACCCCAATTCAAACAAGAAAAGAGCAATCAGTCTTGCTTTAGTTGCCTGATATAGACATGCAAATGTATTTTTAATTTGTTCTTTTGCCGCCTGGCTAGAAAGCCACCACAGTATGTTAATATCCAGACTTGACAATAGCTTTATGTTTCTTGATAGGAAATGCAAAATAATCATGAATACATGAAATTAAAAAAAAATGCTGCATTGTCCCACTTGTTCTGTGTGTTCTTTTTGAGCTCAGTGTTGGCCCCTGAACCAAACTACTGCTTTAAAAATGGCATCTTTTCATTATGCTGTGAAAACAGAGTGTGATTCCTTCCATAAAATAAACTTAAAGCTCTGTGAATGTCATTGAATATAAACTGAAACATTTTACCTGTAAATAATAATTGGAATGGTAATTACTAACTTTCATAAAATCTCTTTAAAAGAGCTGCTAAAATTGTTAACTAATGGTATGCAATGGCAGCAAAATACACAAAGTACAGTGGAAAATCAGCTTTCCCAGAGGATTAGGGAGCATCAGCTTCCCTGCTTTTATTTTCCAGGTGAGAACCACTGGTGGTGTTTATAGGGGTGGTGTAGAAACTTTCTTGGCCACTTTCAGAATTTTATAGGGAAACTCAAACAATCTAATACAATCTTTATTTGCTTTTCCAGTGTCATCCATTTTCTATTAGAATTAGGGTTCTCCTCATTTTTTTTTTTCTTAACTTTCACTTGTGATTTTAGCCTTCTTTGTTTAATTAAAATGTTAAGTCCACTGACCCCATTTATTTGTTAGCTTGTGTGGGGGGCTAGTTCTGCAAATAAATCTGGATCTCCTCACATAATAACATTGTTACCTGTTAAGGTGTAGCTTAAAGTGTGTAAAAGAAGTAAAACTCGACAGAAGCATTGAAGAAATAACTACCTTTTCAGCAACTCACTAATAATTACTTTAAAAAAAACCACTTGTTTGAAGGATTTATTAACATGAATCATGGCTGTAGGACACTTACTGCGACACTGTTATTAAGCAGTCATTACTAAGTATGTTGCTGTAATTGTGTTATCAGTTGTCATTTTTAATTCTTAAGTTGGAGAACCGTAATAAACAAACTTCTGTGTGTGTACTCATAAAACCAAAAATATTTAGCTTTCTTACAGTGATGACAGCCTTGTAGAGCACATATAATGTGTTAGCACTGAAATTCTGATTGTCTAAAGAACGTCTGTGTGATTACTGGGTAGAGCAGAATTGAACTTTGGGTTGGCATAGAAACAACTCAGTCTTCATAACAATATCTTTTTCATATGGTAATTATAAAGCGATCAGTCTACCTATTTAGCATGTTTACATAAAATTAGCATTTTGTAAAAGAGAAATAACTTAGATTTGTTTGTATTTCTGTGCAGCTTTTGAAAAAGCTAAATTAAAACGAGAGAAGGCAAATGCTATAGAAGCCAGGAGAAAGGAGAAAGAAGATAAGGAAAAAAAGAGGGAAGAATTAAAGAAGATTGTGGAAGAAGAAAGGATGAAGAAGAAAGAAGAGAAAGAGAGGCTTAAAATAGAAAAGGAAAAAGTAATGCATTTGTATTATGTGCTTCTRTGGGAATATCATAATGTTTTCCTGGTTTATTTATTTCTGATTAGTTATCTACCTCAAGTTATTTTCCATCAACTATTCCCAAGTTATTAAGACCTGCGTTTTAACAAACTATGTTTTTATAAAATGTGGTTGTGCATTTATATTCATAGATAACACTTTCTGCTTTGTAGATTCACTTTTAATTTGCTTCTGAAGTAATAAAACCTTTTTTTTTGCTAATAATACACAGTAGTATTTGACGTGACAATTGTCTTCTGCATCAGAATTAGAGATACTGTAGACTGCCAACTACCACAGTGTGTTAAATCACCGTGGAGTTTCTTGTGTTTTTCCCACATTTCTCAATTTCCTAAATTTCCCAATAAATTTCCCAACTCCCATCCCTTTTTTATGAGAATTGTTGAATATTGTGTTATTTAGGCRTAATATGTACAAATTATTTATCCTGCTATTTCTTTAACCATGGCCACATCCACTATCTTTTTTTTTTTTGTGACAACTTTTATGAAAGATGCAGATTAAGAAAAAAATCTAAGATAAAAGTTAATGACTAACATGAGAAGGAAGCCCTGCAATTATTTTTTAATTTGCAACTTTACCAAAATTTTATACGAAAAAGGTGGGTTTTTTTTTTGTTTTGTTTTAATAAAATGTTTTATTTTTCAGTGCTACTGAAGTGGTAGAGGTCGAGGCATGGTTCTAGAAATTGTAATAGGAAGAACTGATGATCTGTTTTTTTCCTTTCTGACTTCTCTATCCCTTCCTCCTTCCTYGTCCCCACTAGGAAAGAGAGAAGCTGCGAGAAGAAAAAAGAAGATACGTGGAATACCTAAAGCAGTGGAGTAAACCTAGGGAAGATATGGAGTGTGATGATCTTAAGGTATGATTGAACACGTGTTTGRAGTAGTGCAGGCTTCACTTCTGCTTTACAACGTCCTCAAGGCAGTTCCCATCGTGCAGAGGCAGATTGCATGTGACCTGGATGGCAGGGGTTGTGTGCTGGCAGCAGGCATGTAGTCCCAGGATGATGCTGTTAGGATAGACAACGTTTTTATCCTCCAAAAATCTTACTAGTTTCTCAGTCTTAATATTGAAAAATCTTTTCTCTCCTTCCTTCTCCCCTCCCAGCTCCAAATTGTTGAAGTTGCTGGGCAGAGGGTATTGAATACACCYGACTGCTCAAATAGATGTACAGTAAGGATTTACCTAGAGTAAACCTGAGTTACTTGAAAGGTATGAGTGATGAAGAAATCAACTTTGGATGCAAAAGGTAGAAAGGAGCTGAGTGTTTTTTTGTTCTTGGTTTTGTTTTTTTCATTCCTTGTGGTGCTCCTTTTATTTAAACTCCAGCGATACCAGTGAAAAAACACAAATGCCAGTCAACTACATCTACATCAGATGTGACCTTGCACAAGTTAATATTAGACACGTGTTTTGTACATGCTCGGGATTTTTGTTTACTCTCTGCCAGAAATGCTGCCTTTTGTTTTTTAAAGAATGTTTATTACTTGTCTGGGCAATTCCAGCATATTCAAAAACTCTTTTGGACTAATACAGGTTTAAAAGAAAAAACTTCACAGCGTACAGTGTTAAACTGTTAGCAGTTTTGAGTTTCTTAAGGCAAAGATTGAGCTTGTTCGTATTTATAAAGTTGACTATTTCTGTATCTCCAAAGATTTGATGAATTGCGTGTTATTCAGTGTCTTAATTACAATACTACAAATATTACCATATTAATTGACTGCGTGTCTTTCAGAAATATTTTCTGTAAAATATAATGAAGAGATAATATAATGAATTGAATATATTTCTTAGAACGATAAACTGTTCATGCGGTTAGTCGCCTGTGTACTCGCTGAAGCCATGCATTGGGTTAAGTTGTTCTCTTTGGATTGCAGGAACTTCCAGTGCCAATGCCAGTGAAGACCAGGCTTCCTCCTGAGATCTTTGGTGATGCTCTGATGGTTTTGGAGTTTCTGTATGCTTTCGGGGAACTCTTTGATCTTCAAGATGAGTTTCCTGAAGGAGTAACTTTAGGTAGGTTGTCATTTACAGGGCAAGATGCCCCAATTTGTGGGGTCAGTTCTGCTCCCAAACATCTTAAATGTGCATGCATTTATCAGCTTTCTGTGCAGTTTTAGTGTGTCAGTGCTTACACAAACGTATCAATCAATTTTTCTCTTCACAGTCAACCTCTGCAGTATCGGTACAATTAAGATTAATTTCAATGTAGGAATTGTTGATWTAGTCTACTTGTATATTTCTCTTGCAGTTAAATAATAAGAAAGGGCATAGTTTTGTCARTGTGTTCTTTCTGACAGCATCTCTGTAAGAATATTCACAGTAAATTATGGAAAAATAACTCGGTTATCATCTGAAGGGATTTTATCTGATTATCTGAAGGGGGGAAAAGAAACATGTTTTCATTCTTCAATACTTAATTACATTGCAACATTGTGGCAAAAGTGACCCTTCTTAAACTCTATTCACAGAAGTTTTAGAGGAAGCTCTTGTAGGAAATGACACTGAAGGCCCACTGTGTGAATTGCTGTTTTTCTTCCTGACTGCCATCTTTCAGGCAATGGCCGAAGAGGAAGAGGAAGTGGCCAAAGATCAAATAGCTGACGCTGAGACCAAAGGTCAGATCTTAATTTTGCTACTTAAACTGAAATTCCTCTGGAATTAACTTTAAAGTGCATGCGTTATGGCATTCCTGTGTTTAACCTTGTCTTATTGTGCATGGATAATGCATATAAATGGACTTGTTTTTTCTGTTTTATCTGGAATAAAAGTTTTAAACCGGGCATGGAGGGCCAGGGAGGGAAAAGAAAAAGCAAGCTTGTTGCTGCTGTGGTTGCATCCAGCAAAGCATAATAAGCATTTAACAGCACTGCTTATGTTCTGGAGGTGCAGGAAAGCATCTTCACCTCCTTCCTCCTCCTTCAGCACTGTTAGATGTTTCTCCTGAGGGCCAGGAAAAGAGGCATTTTCATAAATCTTCTGACAAGTTTTTATCTGCAGCTATTTAAAAAAAAAAAAAAAAAAAGCCTAAACCTGATACCAGCTAAAAAACTAAATTCTTAAGTACAGCTCTGATGGAAAATTCAATGTTGGTTGTCCTTCAAGATGCACAGATGTGCAGGTAGGCTCCCGGGTGCTACTGTGCTGCAGTGCTTTCCAGCAAAGCATCTTGCACTCGCTGCCCCTGGGCACTGCTCTAAGGCTGAAGCTGCCCATGGGTTCAGGCACACTCGCCGTACACGAGCCASTAATCAGGTTGTTGATGTGGTCAGCAACGTTATGTGTGTGTCGTCATCCTTAATAGGCTGTTTCTCTTCATGTTCAGCCAGCTTAATGATTCAGGTTTTAGTCTGTGAATGCTCTGCRCCTATTTCTGCAGCGCTGTATTTATAGCATCTTACTGATTCTGCAGCAAATGCCTCAGAGGTCTGATTTTTGACTGAGGCAATGGTTTCATGATGCAAAATGTTTGCTAGTCCTGCCAGCTCCAAGTGTTCTGTGTCACCTTTTGCACACCCCGGGTATCCATGCCCTCATGGAATGCCCATCCATGCAACCCTGCATGAACCCGGAGCCTCATTCGGCTTGTTAGGCACCTCCTGGACAAATTGATGGTCGCTCAAACACCGCTCATGYGACGGAGGACCTAGGAGGAAGCATSAGGCAGGGAGCCTYGCAAGCGCTCGAGGTGTTGCCSTTGCRTTGGCCTTGRGGTTGGGAGTGCGGGGCCGGAGCGCCCTGCGGCCCCCTTGGCCCCTGCAGCGCTTGGTGGGAAGGGAGCCGGCGTTGGCTGCCCAACGTTGGCCTGTCTGTCCTCTGCTCCTGGGCTGCCACGTCACTCACCAGTTAGAGCAGAAGCTTTGCCCCCCGTCCTGCTAACCTGGCTTCATCAGAAGATGAAGAATGTAAAAATATAAACAAGAATATAAGAATATTCTCTGCTTGAGCTCCAGGGAATCCTGTGTTTCCCTGTGAGACAGATGCMTGAAAAACAGGACGCTTCCTCTGATTTCTCCCCTGGATCCCGTGCGCTTCCGTGCTTAAGATTTGCATCCAAGCTGTGACATGCCTGTATGTAAAGCATGGTACTATTTTTAGTAGTAGATGCTGCCCGTGGTAAGTGAATAGGGTTATAAACTTGATAAAGTGTAAGCCTATTTAGAGCTTTAATACTGATTTTAGTTATTGTAGAGTAGATTCTCATTAGAATCCTTATTGTTCATAACGATGACCAGGCAAAGATGCAATSTAGCTCTCATTTTAATATGAGTGTCTGAGGTTGGCAAGGGCAGAAATGACCCTCTCACTTCTCATTTTGCAGAGTTGAGGGAAGGCAGTTTGTCTATTTTCTGCTTTCATTTAAAGCCTTCGAAATTTCAGGTTTTCTTCCTCTTGTTCAGACACCTTCTATCCCCTAAAAGAATGGGATGTTCTTGGCTCTGTAATTCTACCTGACCAAACCAGTAGTATCAGCATGAATGCCTGGAAACTTAAATTTTGTGCAGGCAATTWTTCTGTTTCTTTTTTCAGGCAGAAAGTATCATATAGGGGTTCGGTGTGTCGTACTTTCTCATGCTTTATTATATAGATATGGAGAGAGGAAGGAAAGCGCAGGGGTTAATTTTCTAGGGTCTGAGCAAAAATTTTCGAATTACATCAGTTACAATGCGAGAACCTGTGAATTTTGCTTTTATTTAGTCTTAGCTTGGATTTGTGCCTCTCTCCACTTTGTGGCTTTGTAATTGCTTTATGATTTGGACTGGAGTAAAGTAAAATTGTTGCAATGGTTTGTAAGACTGGCAAAATTCTGCCAACCCTCTGGAGAAATACCTGCCCAGTGCTAAGGAAACCTGCTGTCCAAGAAACAGTCCCGCTGTTTCTCCCTTTCRTTCCCACTGCTTCACTGGTCAGTCTGCTCAAGTGTGTTGCTCCTTCCTGAGTGCAGATGCTTCTGTTGTCCAGCTCGTTTTGTTGAAATTTTGTTTCTTTTTAATGATGTACTAATGGTGTGTGTGCAGAATGAGCAAGTTTATGTCCAAGTTAGATAATAAAAACATACAGTGAATGATGATAACCAGTGTCAAAATGTCCTATTAGTTTGAACAGTCTTTCCTAAAGCCAGGAAGATAACAGGCAATAACAATTCATTTAGGGGTACAAAGTACAGGTGTGTTTGCACTTATTTTTGCTTTTGCTTTCAAGTGCCTCCTGATTTGTTTCCACTGTCTTCTCTGTTGCCTTTGTGCATGTTTTGTGTGTTGTTGGTTGCTTTAGCAGCTCTGTGTAGGGAGAAAAGCTTGTAGCCTTGTGTTGCATGCCCTTAGCTCTTAGATGGATTTAAGGATGTGTGAAATTTAATTTGGGTGTTGAATTGAGTTTTGAATACGTTGATGCTTTTGTGACTATCGGGCCCTTTTTTGCTTTCTCTGCAATTTCTATAAAACAGCTTGCTTTCCTCCCTTCCGCAGTACAAGTTTTAACTTGCACTAGAATAAAGTGTTTATTTCCTTAAAGATTTAACAGAGGCTTTGGATGAAGATGCAGACCCCACAAAATCTGCACTGTCTGCAGTTGCAACTTTGGCAGCTGCATGGCCCCAGTTACATCAGGGTATGTGTGGGTTTCACTTCTTGTTTTGTTACTGTTCTTATTTTGCTCTGTGTTTTAAAGCACGCTTATATAAATATTTTTGATGCCTTTGTGAAATAACTGTTCATTCTTCTTAACTGTAGGCTGCAATTTGAAAAACTTGGATCTTGATAGCTGCACTCTTTCTGAGATTCTCAGACTTCACATTCTAGCGTCAGGCGCTGATGTAACATCAGCTAATGCAAAATACCGTTACCAGAAACGAGGCGGGTTTGATGCCACTGACGATGCTTGCATGGAGCTGAGATTAAGTAATCCTGGCCTCTTGAAGAAGCTTTCAAGTACCTCAGTGTATGATTTGTTGCCAGGTAATCAAATAAGCATTAGTGGTGATAGGCCTGCTCTCCAAGTGATGGGTTGTGCAGTTGTTTCAGATCAATGAATCACTTGTGATCAGAGACCAGAGGTGGTTATGTCACAGAATGAGTTAGTTTGGAAGGGATCACTGAGGGGCAGTCCTCAGGAGGCCCCACCAAATCAGAGACCACGGAGAGAGGGACTCTCATTACCTCTGGGTAGCTTTCTCAAGTCAAGGTGAAAATGCATTAGTCTGGCTTGCAGAATGGCTCTCTGGGGGAGCAGCACTTTGAATGTTAGACCATGCTTTTTGTTCTATGCTTAAATTTGGTTTGCTTAAATTATTTGAAAGTGGAGAAAAGGCAGATGTGCRCTGCTCTTGTATCCCAGGCTTGAAGGCAATATTGCCTTTCAGTTCTTAAATACCTTAAATACCCCTTAAATAGTGGATCACACTAAGCAAACTCATCCTGGAGTGCTAAGAGTTAAGAAAATAAAAATAAAGGTTGGTGTCTCTAAGCAAAGCAGGTATTTCGGCCTTTTCAAGAAATGCCCTTTTGCACATGCAGGCTAATACTGTGCATGTATTTGACATCTCCCTGTTTACTGAGAAGCCTTCAGTTTGCAGTRTGCAACAGCAAGGATTATTTATCAGTTGTATAATGGAATATAAACACAKGTGTGGATTTTCTTAGGAGAAAAGATGAAGATCCTGCATGCCCTGTGTGGGAAGCTTCTGACACTCGTCTCCACTCGAGATTTCATTGAGGACTCCGTGGATGTGTTACGGCAGGCGAAGCAGGAGTTCAGAGAGTTAAAGGCCGAACAGCATCGCAAGGAGCGAGAAGCAGCGGCTGCAAGGTAACCTTTTGGGCATCCTCTGTTGGTTTCGTGAGGAAAAAGGAGGAGAACTTCATGCTAAGCATGATGTTTCTCCAAATTACTGTTATTCTTACGTGGTGCTGGGGAGTCCAAGGGGAGGAATTGCAGTTGGAGTAGATACGAGATGACTGGCAACTGACTTTCTATTTCCTTCCTACAATTAGGATACGTAAGAGGAAGGAAGAAAGGTTAAAAGAACAAGAACTGAAAATGAAAGAGAAACAAGAAAAGCTGAAGGAAGAGGAGCAAAGAAATCCTGCTGCAGAAGTACCTGTTGGGTATGAGAAATTGTATTACTGATGTATATAAGACTATGGGCCCGCTTTTTAAATGGCACTTCAAGTGTACGTGGCAGAGCTTCCCTATTTGATTTCATAAACTTAAATAAAAAATATACTTTGTTATATAGTCAAGTATATAGCTCTGAATGTGGATTTTTTTTCTTCTTCTTTCTAGAATTGTTTTGTGAAAGCAATTTTATTTTTTAAATCAGTTTTAGTGTCATGCTAAYGCCTGCGTAACAGCTTTACTTAGTGGCAAGAGAAACTTCCAAAATTTAATTTGTATTTTTGCATTACCTTTGTAATTGTATTTGATTTCATATCTATGAAGATCTTTRTAGTAGTCCATTCTAGTTTTTCTAATTTGAAAAACTGGTCTGAGCTAGATAAACTATTATGTGAGGTCAATATTATAAATCAAATTAATAGCACAGCATTTTTTAAAATGTGCTGTGATAKCCCAGGTGATAACGCAAGATTTTTTTTTTGTTCTATTAATAAAACTGTATGGTTTCAGGTGATAAGATTCATGCACATGCAGCTGTACATGATTCCAGAAAAAAAAATCAAAATGTATATACAACACTATATCTTTACCTGCTTGAGGAAGGGAGTTAGTTAAATAAATCTGCTTGCAAGAGGTGAGCATGGGCCAGAGACAGATGTTTGCTATGTTTCTGAAAATATAATAGAGAAAAAAAATGAATAAAATGTTTTCCTGTAATGGATGAATGTAGTTCTTAAGGCTGTTAAATTATATTTAGTTGATGAATAAATGCATCATAATCCTTTTGTAAAATAGTGTATGTTTTGGCATGGAAGCATTTTTGGGTTTAGTAAAGGTAATTCAGTTTAGTAGAATAACACTGAAATACCTCTTATAGGGGTCTGATTATAAGAATGTTCTTTAAATATATGCATAAAATAGTGAAGACCAGAGTGATGGGTTGGTCACCTTTGTTTATTTTGTCCTACCAGGGAGGAGGAACGGGAGGACCTTGATACCAGTACAGAGAGCAAAGAAGTTGAACGTAAAGAGCAAGAYATGGACACAGTAACAGAGGATGAAGAGGAGTTGGGACCAAACAAAAAAGGCAGAAGAGGTAATCCTTTAATGTAATGCTCTATGTCATACAAGTAAACCAATGCACCACAGATTTGTATGCACATACCTGGGAAGCTGCTGTTTTCTGTAGCAAGCTTTTGTGAAGTATTAATCTTCCCTGAAAATGTGCARGGAAGCAAGGCTCATGATGAGTTATTGAGGGTGTAGAGCTGGTTGGATCTCCTTGTAGCTCTCAGCTCTTCRTGCTTCCACACTTCTGTTCCTTTGGTCTCCCATGCCTACTGTGTGTTTCCTCTTTGTTTTTCAAACAGGCAGTTGTCTGGCAAAGTTTTATAATTTAGCTCATACTGTAGCTTGCTGACCTTGCATAAGTCTAATAAATTATAAATTTATAAATGATTTTGATTCTTTTAATTGGGAAGTCGCAAAAGCGAAAAGTGTTTTAAAAAACCATGTCCCACCGAGTAGTTGGGTTTAGATGTGGCTTTTTACATAGGAATGTATGCTACTCCATTAAGAAGGAAACCAGATTTATCCCCAAGTATCAGTTTGTTGGGAGCCRCTGGAGAAGCTGCAGTGCCCTCAATGACACAGCCTGCAATCTGTAATTAGATACAGAAATCACTAATGAGGGATGAATAGTTGATCACTTGCATTGCCAGCTCATCTGTTCCTTTCTCTCTTGACAGCTTTGTGGTARTGTCTGTGCCAAATGAAAGCCCGTGGATGATTTCTGACTTTTATATTGCAGTTGTACCTGTAATAGAAACTCTGAGCCTTTCAGTTACACAGTTTAGATTTAGGTTTTAGTTTTTAGATTTAGTTACACAGTTTGGATTTCGTTACAGTTTTATGATGAAGACCTCAAGAAGCACTGAAAATACTTTCAAGTTTCTCAAATTCCCAAGAAAGTCTGAGACTTTATGCCTSTCAGGTAGACGAGTCTTTCCCACTCTTGGCTCCAAACAGAGAAACTGATGGTGATGCTAGAAAACTGAAAGCTGTGGATGCTGGCAGCATCTTTTGCAGTTTTACATTCCAGTTAGAAGACTCTTTCTGTGTAACTCTTGGAACCAGACTGGCAAACTCAAATGTGAACTGGAATGTCTTTAGTGGGATGAAAAGGAAGTAACATGGAAAAGTATATGGAAAAAAGAAATTGGATAATGTAGCCAGGTTTGCAATATAAGTTTTATATAGGGATTCTGGTTTTACTTGGAGTCTTGGGAGATTTGAGTGTTTTATGTATGGAAAGCTAAGTCCGAAAGGTATTTTATACTTAATAATGAAATTGCTAGAATTGTACTGTCATGATGGAAGATTATTTTATAACATACTTTTAAGTTCTTAAAATATTCTTTTYACAATGTTAAAATTATGACAGTAAGTGAGACTTAGACTGGGACACTAAAGTACAATAAAGATGGCTCCTTTTTAATTAAGGGAAGGGGTGTAATACCCCTTGATTTTTTTTTAATAAAGCTAATATTCGTTCCTTGAATGGGTTCATGTTCCTTGACAGTATAGCGGGAGAGAAGGAAAAACTGCCCTTTACTTGCCATATTTTAATTAAATACAAAATTTTTGAGCACGTTGCTATCAGTGTCCTTCCTTTACCTTTTAGGAAGGAGAGGGCAAAATGGATATAAAGAATTTACAAGGCAAGAGGAGAGCGTTTCCGAAAAGAGCGAGCCTCTTACCGCTGAAGAGGAAGCAGCTTTAAAACAGGAGCAACAGAGGAAAGAGAAGGATCTCCTGGAGAAGATCCAGAAYGCGACAGCCTGCACCAACATCACCCCTCTGGGCCGTGACCGCTTGTACCGACGCTACTGGATTTTCCCCTCCGTTCCTGGCTTGTTTATAGAAGAGGATTTTTCTGGTCTCACCGAAGACATGTTGTTGCCTCGAACCTCTTCCTTTCAGAGTAATGTACAGTCTTGCACAAGTGAACCTCAGGTATTCAGTAAAACTGGAGAGTCTTTGAAATCCTCTGAATCTACCTCCACTATTGACCAAGATTCACACACCAGTGTTGTTGTAGAGGTGCCAAGGCCAGTATATAAACCAAACCGGTGGTGCTTTTACAGTTCTCGGGAACAACTGGACCAGCTCCTCGAGGCTCTCAATTCCCGAGGACACAGGGAGAGTGCCTTAAAAGAAACTCTTTTACAAGAGAAAAGTAGAATATATGAACAACTAAGCTGTTTTCCTGTGGAAAAATTCCATATTCCAGGTAAAGTTCCTGATTTCTCTCTGTTTCTGCATTTGTAACTAATACAATCTAGTAGTCTGTAATTCTCATTTAATGTCAGTTACTAAGAAATAAGAATTATATGTGGTTTTGCTCTGAAAAACATGTTTTGAGGGTTTGGGAAGTTGTTTTTTTTTTTTTTTTTTGCTCATGTATCTACGTTTTATGGTGTTGATAGCATTAAAAAGTGCAATAGTTCCTGTCCTTCCTCACTGCTTAGTAAAATGGAATTTGCTTCAAGAAAAAGAAATGTAGGAAGTGACGTGAGCTTTGGCCAAAGATTAATTACATGTAATCTGGGAATAAAGATTAAAGGTAAATGTGTTAAAGATAAATCACAGTATTGATCATYTGACACCTCATTTCCTTCACCTCACTGAAAAGTATTATGCCTTTGGAGACATAAACATCATGAAGAGAAGCAGTGGCTCTTGTGTTCATATCCAGACCTGTATTTTGACCAAGGGAAAGGTGRCACATGGCAAAGTTGCTCTACTATCTTTGAGAGGGAAAAGGAAAAAAAGGAAAAAATGTATAGTTGTGGTGGTGGTTACGTGGCATCAGGGCAGTGAATTTTGTGACTTTTGGCAGATGTTCATTACAGGAAGACAAGGCATATGCAGAATGTTTTCTTGGGTTCAAAATGTAAACCTAGAAGGGCTTAAAATATATTTTAGATATTTAGATTTCTTTGATCGCATTTTAGAGATTTAGCTCCYGTTTCCCTTGATGGAGACTAGCACAACACAGGGGCAGTAGCTGAGCTTTAATTGGGGGTCTTGTGAGTGTGTTTTTGTCTTTTGGTGAGATTTTCTGTGTCCTTTCCTGCTCCTTACCTTGCAGTTGTAGTGGTGGTGTTCCCTAGTTTTGCTAGCTGCTCTCTTTACCTGTATTTTGTGTGTTGCTTTCCTCCCTGAAGCCATTGTGTTTCCACACACATTTTCTTTTCTATGCTAAAATTACAGAATAATGTTGACCCAGGGTTATTTTTGGACTTGAGAATTTTGTTTTAATAGCAAGAAAATGACATGCAGCAGTTTAATGCCAGTGCCTCCCTGCGTGATCAGCAATGAAACGTGCCCTTGTGCAGCTCTGCTCTGGAGAGCTTTGCTCTGCGGGGCCGCCTTCTTGCCTTTATTCACATGACAGGCAGGACAGCTGGAAACTAATCTGTGATTATGTTTTTTGCCCTGCTCTGCACACTGCCTTTCTTCTTCTCACTCGCAAGAAAATGGAAATAAAACAAAAATGCACTATTATGTAATTTTAAATATTTACTCTAGCATTTTTWAAAATCTCTCTTCGCTATCATTTGTTTGCAAGCCAGTTGCTGCCATTTCACTTCTGCAGCTGCTTTTAAACCCAAAAGGGCACTTCCCTGCCCCAGACGTGGCTGCTTGCTAATACCCATTCTGAGAATATTTACATAATTACTGTCAGTCACAGGGAATTGTTTCTGCAGCTAAGAGTGTCACAGAAATTCACCCTGTGCTACTTTGACAGCAGCTTTAAGGGTTTTCTTTTTTTTTTTTTTTTTGATATCTCCAAGTTTTTGCATACTTGCAGCCACCACTGTGTGTCCCTGCCTTAATCCTGTGAACAAAGACACGTGCGGGTTTTACCAAGTGCAGTGTAGTGTCTGTGCCTCCTTCCAGCCCTTCCCTATGGCTTCTGAGCTTCTCCCTGTATTTTCAGTTGTCTTGGGAAGAGGCTTGGTGGGGGATACCTCATCATCACCAACTCTCCCTTCCTCCTCCTTTTCCATAGTGTTTTGTTAGTTGGCAGGTACAGCCAGTCTAATTCATACCTGGGCCATCTTGTCCTTCCTACCCCCAGTTAGGTATTTTAAAGGGGTTGTATTTGCCCTTAAGTTGTGCAGTTAGTTTTTCTGACCTTTATTCTGCACCTCTGTGCAGAACTTAACAACTTAAGGGCAAATACAATCCCTTTAAATTCTGACCTTTAGTCTGCACGTGTGTGTTTTAATGGTGCCGTGATACAGACCCGTGCAAAAGGGAGAACTGAGTTGTTTCCTCTGTAAAGTAAGAGCAATCCCATAAAACAGGCAACCTGATAGAAATGAGACGCTATCTTTTTGTCTCCCACCACCTATTTTTGTAGCAGAGAGAAGTTGTTGCCTCTCTACCTTAGAAATTAATGAAAAATAATGGCTTTTAAATTAGCAGGAATTTCTCATCTTGCAATTTGGGAGGCACAATTCCTAATTTGTAGGTCTTCTGCTAGAAGTATAGCCTGTTGCTTGGATTAGGTASCTTAGCTGACATGGAGATGCTGAGTGCTCTCATTCCTGGAAGAGATTTCCAGATGTTAAAGCTGGAGTTGGTTTCTCCTGCCCTGTATCACTTCCCTTCCTTGCACACCAGCTATTTTAAGGAGCAAAACCCAGTAACAAAAAGTTATTTGGAATTATTGCAGACAAACCTCAAAGTGACATTAGACCTCCTTCAGGACGGGGAAGAATGCCGAATGCCCTCGATGGACCTCAAAAATCTGCAGAAAAGCAGCTTGAATTGAGACTTAGAGACTTCCTTTTGGACATTGAAGACAGGATCTACCAAGGAACGTTGGGGGCTATTAAGGTATCTGTGAGTTGTAAAGTACCTGGGAACAAAGTGGTGCCTCCAWGTCTGTAGCTTAAATAAGAACTCTTGCCTGCTGTGGGCTTTGCCAAACGAGTATTTTAATCAAGTCTCTACTGTAATTGCCACTTAAAATAAAAAAGTTTGTGATCTTTCATTCTTTAGAAACTTCCAATTTGTGTGTTTGCTTCAGGTTACAGACAGACAGTCTTGGAGAGCAGCCTTGGAACATGGGCGGTATGAGTTTCTCAATGATGAAAACAAGGAAAATGGTATAATTAAAACTGTGAATGAAGAATCTGATGAAATGGAAACTGATGATCAAGATAAATTTATTGTGAAAGACAGGTAAGAACTATGATTTAAGTAAAGTCTCTGTGTTAGCTTTTAACAGTACTCTACCTTTACCATCAAATTATCTTCACCCTCAATTTCTATGCATCCATATTGATGAACATGTAACTTCAAAAATTTTCACATTTTACAATTCAAAACTTCAACTGTTTTATGTTTTGCAAATTACACCATTCTGTTACCAAATAACACCAAGACAGCAGCACAAAATTTTGACAACTTCTATCATTCAGGTGTTACACTGCTCAAAATAAGCATTCTCTATTAAATAAGGAATTCACTTTAAAGTCATTTAAAACGCAGAGAAAATTTATTCTGGCAATTATGTTCTACTTTCTGGAATAAACACTCTCTAGCAAGAGCGTGACTGTTGGAAGGAAAACTGGCAAAAATAATTATGTGGCGAGCTGAACAGTGTGCCATTTCGTGAACCCCAGTAAGAGCCATCAGTGCAAGACTGTGGTCTGACCTAGACCCTTTGGCACTATAGGATGACACTGCCATAAAAATGGGGTGTCAGCGTGTGTGGGTTTAACCTAACTTGTGAGAGAGATGCAGGACTTGCACTAAATCAGTGTTTGCTCAAAGGGTAGGCTTTAGGTATTTACTAAGAAAATTTTGAAATATTTCATTCTCTGAGGTGCATGCTTTTCAGAAGAAATTAAAAGAATTAATACATTAYATTGACAGATTTTTTAAAACAAATAAGAAACATTGCAGAAAAAAAGATCAGTTAAAAAGAATTGTACTAATGTATTGTGTTGCTTATGTGTTCTGTGAGGTTTCCTCCTAGTGCTATTTTTATYTTATGGATAAGCCAGTAGGATTTTTATCTTAGGAAAGTGAGAGCCTTTTTGTGACAGCCTCTTGAATCCTGAATTTTGTGGGAATTCAAACTTCAAGGTGTTTCCACTTCTTTTTCATTTGGCTGAATTGGTATTCGACGTAGGATTATGAATTCTCTAGTTGTGTGCCAAAGGGGTAGGTGCATCTCTTCCTGTATTAGTGGCAGGATTTATGGAAATTTGTGTCCTGAAAGACCCAACATAGAAATATTCTGCTGTTTTCATGTACTAAGAAGCTAAAATTTGTCACCTCGGGCACCCAGTCCCACTGCAGAAGCGGGCTGCTTCCTCTGTCTCCATGGTACTGACTTCATCAAAGTTTCAACTCTAGTTTTAAAGTCAGGCCTATTAAAACAGAGACTATTGGCTTCTGCAGCTATGTGGTGGATTCCTTTGGCTGCTGGGCTTTTTATCCACCTCAGAGCAAGTGACATCTCATTAAGACCTTGGAGTTTGGCTAGTGTGATGCACAGTGCACAGTGTTTTTGTGTTTGATTGCAGGCTCTCTTAAGGGGGAGTGACTGTAAAATAAAATGAACAGCTTTTAAGTGTGAAAACGGAACAGAAACAACCAAACCAACTCCTATAAATCCCCTGCACCTATGTGTGGATCTGTGCAAATACCTTTATGTTGAATTCATCACAGCAGAAATCATATTTACTACTTGTTTATTTTAGACTTGTTGGAATAAAAACTGAAGCTCCAAGTGCTGCATCCACAAGTACCAGTACTCCTCAGGCCGTTAATAATGTGGTCCACTGCTTGGCATCTGCACTGCTTCAGATAGAGCAAGGAATCGAGCGCAGGTTTCTCAAAGCACCCCTTGGTAAGCTCCCAGCATTGAAACACAGTGTGTTTCTAGTTGGCTTTAAGATTTCTTTGTTTTTCTTTTTTTTCACTCTTTAATTTTTGCTTCTTTCTTGAAGACTGGATGTTTTAGAGTGTTGCATTTGAGGAAAAAGAAAAACCTATTTCTATGTGAAATTGTGAAAAAGAAAAAAAGATAGATTACAAATCCATAATGGGAAACTAACCCATGAATTCCTTTGACATGTCTTTAGGTTGTAAAAATGTAAGCTTTACATTGTTTTTTTTTGTTTGTTTCTGTGAAACTAGTACAGGGCTGGTTTGTCTGGATTCTAGTGCTCAGCAATAACAGATTATAGTCACAGTCAGTAAAGATTTATATCACATATTTTAAGATTCACAGGTGTTCCACAGTAAAAGGTGGAAATAAAGGATTGCAGGGGGATAAAGAGCATGGTCGTAGTTGGGCTGTAGCAAGTGTGGCCCTCCGAATCCTCCGGCGTGTCCCGGCAGCGCCAGCCTCTGCCGGGGCCGGATTCCAACGTCGTTCTGCCGCGGTGCCTCAGCTCTGCGCTCCCCACCAGCCTCCTTCGCGGTTAAACCTGGGGTTTCATCTTGGATTGGGTGCGTGGGCGGCTTCTCCCCGCAAGGACGAGCGTCGCCGCTCGGTTCCTGCTGCGTTCCTGGCGCGACRCTCAACAGGAGCTGAGCTTTGTGCCTCTGCGACAGGGCTGCCTTCATCTCCTCGCCAAGGACACAGGCAGGAGTGTCACAGCCTATTTGGTAGCCTGCCACGACTGTGTTTACAGCATGTCCACAGGGCAGGAAATGGGCAGTGCATCCCGTGCTTCTCCAATGTGCCCTGCWTGTGCAGCTACCAGTGCGTTCCCCACGTCTGCCCCCGAGAAAGGGGTTTTGGCAGCAGCATCAACCCCATCTTGCTGGTGGCTGCCAGGCTGCCACCGACCCTCCTTAGTGGGAGGAAGAAGCAAAATACACTGGTTGCACTGGTAGGCTCTTAGCTCTAGATTGTCCGTCCCAAGTGAAAGGCAAAAGCGCTAGAAGCAAAAAGCGTCCTTAAAGAGGGTGCTCTTCGAGGGGAAAATCTTTTGGGTGACTATTTATTAAAGAAGACTTTAAAAGACACATATTTATTGAAAATTTGTAAAACAAAATAAAACTGTTAGTCAGCTCTATGAAGGTATTCCCACTTGAGAACTTTTGGCCATGACCAAAAGAGCCAACTGCAGGGTGTCAAGGAGACACCTCAGGGTATTCAAGAGGCACACAGGAATTTCAGGCACTTCAGAGGCCAAGCAGCAATTCTGGATGCAGCCCTTCCTGGATGTCACCCTTCACTCTTTCAAATGCGCTCGGAAAAAAACAGTGCAGAACTTGGGAATTCTGATCTTCARCTCTTGCGCCCTATGGGAAACCCTGTCCTTGGATGTTGCTAAAGCAAGTTCTGTGTCCTTGTTTGCAACTTGCATGTGTGTAATAGGCAAAGACATTCCCACCTTGCTTAAAAAGGTGTTAATGCCATTACTGAACATCTTTAAAGGGGAGCATTATGAGGGACTGCTTGTTCAGAGATACCTTCTTTGATCAACCTATCTAGGAAGTGACCAAGAATGCTGTGAGGGTAGAAATTGGCTTGTAGTATGTAGTATGTAACCCTTTGGTGGTGGTTTTGGGTGGGGTGTTTTTGTTTTGTTTGGGGGTTTGGGGTTTTTTTTGTTTGTTTGTTTATTTGGTTGTTTTTTTCTTTGTTTGTTTTAATATATTAAAGAAGTATGTAACAGATATTTGTCTTTATATCGGCCTATACCGCTTAGGAGAATTTTCCCGTAGACAAAATGCCTACATATCTTTAATATTAATTGAACCTGCCAAACCCAGCTTTTAAAGTGGATTTAATTACCATTTAGGTAAAAACATTAACCATCAAGAAAGTGCTGTGAGTTCTGCTTTGTCTGTAGTACAGGGGATTATTTTTGCTAAGATTAGTCCCTTGTATTTTTTTTTTTTTAAACCAGCATAAAACCCTTTTCCTTGTTATTTCTGTCACTGCTTTCGCTATGATTTTTGCTTTGTTCTTTTTTATTTTCTTTCTGCTTTCACCACATACTCTCTTCCCATGCTATAGTGGAGCCACACGTGAAGCAATTTGCAGTGTTCACTGTTTGCAGCTTCAAGTGTTAAGGAAAAAGCCCAGGGAAAGTCTCTGCGCTTGCAGCCTTTACCCCCGCGGCCTCCAGGGTGCAGAGCAGACAAAGCGACCCAGGCGGTCAATAAACAGGTTAATGACCAGACCAGCTGCTGCTCCCTGCTCCCTGGGGCTGCCTGCAGCCTCCCATGATCCTGGGAAGGGTTCGGCCTGCGAAACGCCCGGGTGGAAGAGCAAGGAATCACTAAGGGGCCACGCAGGAGAGGCGGAGAGGCCTCGGGAGCAGCGCTGGGCGCCTCGTGTTGGGCGATGCAGATTTAACAGCACAGGACTTGAACTGGGAGCATTTCTTAATTATGAACGATGTATTAGAAATCCTCTCATTGCACAGTAGCTGTGAAGGCTTGTTGTGCCCTTTTTATTGTTGTTATTATTTGTTTCAGTCTAGGCCAAAATACCATTATGAGAGAATAAGAAAATGGGCCTGCACATTACAGTGCATGTTTTCCTGTTTTCCTTTTGAAACAGTGAAGCCTCCTTTATTTTATTTTATTTATTTTTTTAAGTAGCTATGCAAGCTCCGAAGTGTTTTTGCTTCTCAAATACAAGTATGTTTGAAGGGGAAAACACAAGTTTTTATGGTGGAAAAGTATGTCCCATCATTCCTGTTATGTAGATGCAGAAATTGAGGTAAAAAATGTAGTGCCTTGCTCACCTAGGTGTCCTATGAGGCAGCAAAAATATTTCTTTTTGCACCAGTGCATAAGCATGTCTTTATGTTTAATCACATGTAATATAGACTTCCATAGAAAAGGCTGGATTCCCACTCRGAGACACCTTTGTGACTGATAATTTGGAAACTTTTACTTTGCTTTTAGCTTGTGCAATGCACTCTTTGCAGAAGAAACTACAGCTTTCTCACTACTTCTTGTTTGTCTTTTGTTCCATTCTTCTCTTTCTAGGTTTTTCCTATTTCTGTTTTTCTACTTCCAGGGTTGGTTATTGTTCAGTTTGTGCTTGTCGCTCTGAAATACCCCGAGGCCTCTTGCACTTGTGAGTTTAGGCACGACCAGCTCGTGTGCACTCCTGGTGCTCCCCTTGCTCATCACGCCCTGCGGAGCTGTGGGAGCAGAGGTGGAAGGGGGATGTCTTTCTGACTAACGTTTCGTGTGTGTGCTTGCTGTGCAGAGAAAGGGGGGTACCCAGGCACCGTGGCTTTAAAACACAGTACCCTGCTAGCTTTAAAAAGTGCTTCAGTGTATGTGGAGCATGTAGGGTTTAGCATGGCTCTTGGAAGGATGATTCCATCCAGAACATTCCTGCACAAAAGCAGGAATAGGCACAGACAGGCCAGTTCTCTTGGTCCTGGTGGCCTGTGCTCCCGCAGCGGCGGCACCTTCGAGGTGTTAGGAGGCCCGTGACGCYGCTGAGCAGGGAAGCTGCCAGCCGAGGGCAGTCAGGAAGGAGGGAAGCACCRRGGATCTGCAGTGAGGAAGCTGCCAGCCGAGGGCAGTCAGGAAGGAGGGAAGCACCRRGGATCTGCAGTGAGGAAGCTGCCAGCCGAGGGCAGTCAGGAAGGAGGGAAGCACCRRGGATCTGCAGTGAGGAAGCTGCCAGCCGAGGGCAGTCAGGAAGGAGGGAAGCACCWAGGATCTGCAGTGAGGAAGCTGCTTCTGCAGCCCCTTGTGCTGGAGGTGGATGCGAGGGTGAGGGAGGCAGCGCTGCCCAGGGCAGCTCTGCRGCTTGTGGAGGGGCTCCAGGGGAACCCACCCCACACACCTGCTCCGTGCACGTTTTCCTCCACTCTTCCCGGGTTGGGAACCTCTGCTCTCGGTTTGTTTTTAGACTAAACAARTATTATTCAAACTAGTATTTTAAAAAAGAAATCCACCACGCTTCAAAAAGGTTTTTGAAATAACTTTATGATTTTAATGTCAGGTAATGCAGAAGATAATAGAAGGAAGCAAAGGGGGGATAAAAAGAGGAAGAGAGAGGAAGACCAGACTAGTCAGAAAGATGGTAATTTTTAACTGTTTGCTTATATTGCTAAGACTTAGAAAGCATTGAATATTTAATATCCTTTTTCTTTTATTATTTTTCTTCACCTCAGTAATTCTCTAGCTAGTTGATTACATTGAAGGAATTGCAGCCTTGAAACCAACAGTTTAAACTTTATTTGAAATAAAATACAGCTTAAAGGTAAAAGAAAAAGCTTTTTAAAACGTGATGTAAAGAGCTGGTTTTCTGTGTGTATGTGTGGTTTTAGTATTTATTTATTTATTTTGGGGCAGAAATCTGGATATTTATAAACTACTCTTTTAATGCCCCTGTTTTTTGAAACTTCTCAGCCTTATACAGCTGCGTATTGTTTTCTAGAAATACTAAAGCCAAAAGCCATTCCCTGAACTCAAGCAGCAGTTGATAAATGAGTGTGYAGATCTGTCAAAAAATCTGCATTTGCATTTTAGCAAGGCTGTGGAGGGCTTAGCTGGGAGAGGGGTATGCCACTGAGCACTGCAGAGCTGCCCACACACAAAGGAAGAGGCCATTTCTCCCTCRGAGTTAACATAATAAATGGAAAAAAATGATGGATGGAAGAAAAGAAGTGTTATTTTGGTGTTACAAATGGGGAACCGAGGCTGAGTGTCGTTTGGCAAGTGTTTCTTGCAGCAGCAGGATGCGCTGGAGCAGGCWGTGGTCAGTCATCTTTGCATCTTTATAGCGACTGCAATTGTGCCAGTGCAAATCCTTGTCATGTTGTGTGCTGATCTATATTGGAGAACTGATCCAGGTTAAAAACAAGCGCTGAAAAGATGAGCTGGTAACACTCAAGCTGCCATTTTCAGCAAAAGAAGCAYGTGCCAATCCATATATGCACTTAAGGTGAACTGGGTTGTAGAAATCTGTGGAAGATCTGCGTGTTGATCTGTCTCTGCAGGTGTAGCTAGTGCAGTAGTTATGTACTAAACTACTAGCACGCTGACAGTGGGGCAAGCAACTACTTTAACTTGTTACTGAATTTTAGATAATGCATTGGAAGCTGTGCTGTAGAGGTGTGTCAAGGAACTTGTTCATTATCCTTTAAGAAACTGAATTTGAGACAGGAAATCCAGGCATAAAGTGGTGGAAATGCAGGTTTGTATCTGCAGTTCAGCTGAGCTGTGTTTGCCAAGCGGTGCTGCCTCTTTATCTGCTGCTCCTGTGCTGCTTGCTGCTAATGCAAATGTATKCAGGATTAGGCAAATCCTGGCAGAGAGGAGATGAGAAGGAAGAAGAGCCTTGCTAGGAGAGCAGTTATTCCCATTTTTGTTCTTTCATTTGATTTGTTATTAGACATTTTCCTATTTCTGAGGAGAAGCCCTAGGCAGCTAGCTGGGTTGTGGGTCTTCCCTGTGCCCGCTGTGACAAGCGGAGCAGGCAGGGTGGCCTTGGGCACTTGAGCACATGGATAACCAGCACTGATAGCCGAAATGCTGCTTTTAAAAGGCAGATCTGGGAGTGCTTCTGTAACCAAAAGTACTGCTGTGTGTTGTTTTTCCACTGCTTAAACTTCCCTGCCTTAAAACGCAAGAAACGTTTCACCATTTAGACTGGAGTTTGCTTTCTGCTCAGCAGCACTGACGCAGGGTGTAATTTATGGCTTCTCATTTCTAYATGTGCTCAAACAGCCCATTTACTTCTGTAAGTGCCAGCAGCTCYGTCCTGTTCTGTGAAGGCAGAGCACGGGATAGGGATAAAGATGTTGGGGTGGGAAAAGCTGCCTGGCAGATGCTGACACGGGGCAGGAGTAAGGGAAGGTGGAAGCAGCCCTGTAAGCTCTTGGTGACCAACAAATTCTGTTTACTGCCCAGTAGTTTCTTTAACTGTAATTTTGGGGTGATTTTGATGTCTCTATACAAAGCAAAGTAAACCAGGAGAGTGGGGATGATCTTAAAGAAGTCTTTTATTTATACATTCCTAACTGAATCAAGCTGTTAGGGTTCCATGCAGGTTGATGTCTGAGTGAGACTTGTTTCTTACTTGTATGTCCTGTGTGTGTGGAAGTGTTAAGCTGAATTGGTGCTGAAAGGAACAGTTTACAGGTCTGGAAGTGCTGGARGAATTAGGTATTGAAAACTTAAGATGAAGGTTAGGACATTATCCCAATTTACTGCTRCATGTCTGTTGGAAATGCAAAGCGTTGCCTCTTAGTCTAGAGTAACCTGGATGTTTGAACCACAAGTTTGATCCTGCTTTTCCCTTCTCTAACGGAAGATGCCAGTGATGGTGGACGATCCTATAAAACAGTTCTAGATCGCTGGAGAGAGTCGCTCCTTTCTTCTACCAGTTTGTCCCAAGTCTTCCTTCATCTCTCCACGCTGGACCGGAGCGTCATCTGGTCCAAGTCCATTCTCAACGCGCGCTGCAAAGTGTGTCGGAAGAAGGGCGACGCGGAGAGCATGGTGCTGTGTGACGGCTGCGATCGCGGCTATCACACCTACTGCATCAGGCCCAAGCTCAAGGTATCCGAGGGAAGAAAATCCTGCCCTTTCCATGCAGAAAGTGGGAGCAGTGCTCGCAGCTAATGGCTTCTTACTGATGCTTTCTTTCTCCTCCCGTTACCAGGCYGTTCCTGAGGGAGACTGGTTTTGTCCGGAGTGCCGACCGAAGCAGCGCTCCCGACGCCTCTCCTCCAGACAGAGACCTTCCCTGGAAAGCGACGAGGAGGCGGCTGAGCGGATAGAGGAGGGGGAAGAGGATGCCAACTATGATGAGATGGGACAAAGTGAGGAGGAGGACTATGAAGATGAGCAAGATGAGGAGGATGAATCTCAAGAGGAAGAGGAAATAAGGTAGAGAGCCATTAAAATGGTTTTGTGTTGGAATTGTTTGGCTAGTATGTGTTAGGAAAATTGCACATCAACCTACATCTCAGAAAATTCAGTCTGAAAGAGATGGAAGCAAAAGTGCTTGTTATGAAATTGTCTCCTCCTGCTGGGTTTAATAYGAGCCAGAGCGAGGTCCGCTGGACTTGGATTCATTTTCCAATGTGAGAGTTCCAGCGTTGGATGTATGGGTGAGAGACAGGATCAGGTTTAGGTTCTGTGCAGCTGCTGTTCAGAATTTAAATCCCTGGGTGGGAAGTGGAGAGAGTCTCATAGAGAAGATTTTTTGAAGAAAATCTGGAAATTTCTTTTTTTTTTTCTGCCTTACTTTGAACTTTGGATCATCAGATACACAACGTACTGAGCAGTAGAAAGGAAAAGATGATCTGTCTAAGGCTACATCACTTTGCTGTACAACACAGTAGCTGCTTAAAAAACAGACTAAATAATCCAATTTGACAATTTCAGTAATGAATTTGATATAAATGTAAGGACTGTAAATGCTGAAGGAAACTATTCTGATGTGTGAGACTTCTTGTTTTCTGTGCAGTCATTGGAACTGACTGGAACCAGATCATCTACTCCGATAGTTGGGATTCAGTAGCTGGAACTAGCCTGGAGCTTTGCAACCCCTTGGGAAGTAAAATTTGTATCTGGGAGTTTTCTCATCTGTTGTAATGGCATGAAAATCCTGAGTGCCAGTTACAAAACCAGGCTAAAGCCTGACTTTCACGTCTAAAAAGATTTAAAAAGTTTTAAAACTGCAGTTTATTTATGTAACTGATAATACTGTCAACAAATCCTAGTAACGACAGTTGCTGTGGAAAATAATGAGGCAATTCAAAGAAACCCATAGATGGTAGCCCAGGTAGTGAACTTGCATTGCCCGAGTTACATCCTGAGAATTTCTCTTTAATGAATCTGCTGCTCATGGTAGTTAATTAAGACACTTGAGTGCAGTATTTAAGGGATAGCCGGATCGCAGTTAAAGCCACTTGCTGACTGATCCAACCGTGAACAGTTGCTGTATTTTCACGTGCTGAATCGGAAAACTGAAAGCTAAGCGGGGAATGCAATTTTGGGATAAATACCGTCATAATTATCCCCTTTTTGCAGCCCGTCGAAGCAAGGCAGACCCCACGTGAAGCTTCCCCTGAAGATGAGAGCAGCGAAGCTCAACAACCCCTTCTCGAGCCGGAGCTGCCCGCGGCCGGCACGGTGCGCGGCGCGCGCCCAGCCGAGCACCCCCCGGCAGCCCACGCCCGCCCCCAGGGCCACCAGAAGGGGCCTCAGGAAGGTGAAGTCGGCGCCGCCGTCGGGCACGAAGCCCACGCTGAGGCTGCACAGCCGAACCACGCGCCAGAGCCAGGGCGCCCTGCAGGCCGGCGTGTTCGTGGAGCTGCTCAGCCCGCGCCGGCGCCGCAGGGGCAGGAAGAGCGGCGATAACGCGGCCGAGGATGGGCCTTCCAGTTCCCTTGGCTTTAGAGTGGTCGAGGCGCCAGACTCCAGCGAACGGGTTAGGAAGTATCCGGTTTCTGCTTCAAAACTTTCTCTTCCTGTTAGCGAACCCAAGAGAAGAGGCAGGAAACGACAATCCACAGGTTAGAGGCGTGTTTGTCGGGGATAAAAAGAGCGCTCAAATCTGTGCTAAAATGGTGTCATGGTAGAGTAGAAAAGGCCAGAACCAGTGAGAAATGTTGGTTGAAGGAGTTTTTACCATTTTCAGCAAGATAAACAAAACAAAGCTGTTTTCCCCTCTTCCTTTTTTGTTTTGGGAGGTACTGCGGTACTAATAATTCCAATTTCCAAATATTCCAATATTCCAATTCCAATATTTCCAATATTCCTTGGGCGCAGGAGTTGTTACATTTATTATGATCATTAGAATAACCAACTGCTCTGTAAGACACTTCAACAATTACAGTAAAATAGTAATACAGAATGAAAAACAGCACATGGTGTCCTGCTACACAAAGTTCCAAGGACTGAACAATATTTTATCTTTTAACTTTCTGTAATGTTAAGGCTGAAACTTGGACAACTTCTTTCTTACTGTAGCATGGCCATTTTTGGAATCTGTCTCTGATTGCTGCGAGCAGGATGGGGCAGCCACACACAGGAATAAGAGCTGCGTGTCTTATCACCATACCAGGTGATGTGGTTAAAGGAAGGAGAAATTTCCAGATCAGGAACTGAGATATCTAATTGATGATGCAGTTTCTCACTTTTCTATATTCAGTGCTAGATACTTTTTTTGGTGGTTCTTTGAGTGCAGAATAATGTTGTTTCACTTTCTTTTTTTCTGRTTTTACTCAGTGTGCCTCGTTGGTTTGCTTGTTTTTCACCTGTTTATTTCAGAGTCATCTCCTCAAACCTCGTTGAGCAGGAGAAGTTCCGGACGTCAGGGTGGGGTTCACGAGCTCTCGGCTTTTGAGCAGCTGGTGGTGGAGCTGGTACGACATGATGACAGCTGGCCTTTCATGAAGCTGGTTTCCAAAATCCAGGTGACTCCTGTATTACTGCACAGGGGACGATAACGTTTGGGAAYTCGGTTTGCTGCCAGTAAAACTTGTAGCTTGCAATATTACCCAAGCAGGAGAGTACAGCTAAGCAGTGGGATTTGGGGAAGCTCTTGCTTCTCTGCTCAAACACTTGGTGGTGCCAGAGGAGACTTTTTTTTTTTCCCTCACCTGTCAGGTTATTGTGATATCTGGGTATCTGAGCCCCCCAAATTTTTTTTCATCAGGCTGGAAGTTTTGATCTAAACTTCTCCCTGCCTTGAAGGCCATGTAAAGAATGATCAGAGTGTCCAGCAAGCTGGAAAGAGAAAACAGCTTTCTTTTTGGTGTTTCTGTAAATGGCACTCCAGAAGTGAAAGGGGTGAAAAAAATAATCGACCTAATTCCAGGTCTCTATTAATTCTTCCTGTAGGTTCACTGGCAAATTGCTCTTGATGTAGTTAAGTTACAGGCCACAACTGAGATTTTTGGTTTTAAAATATCAATGATAGAGCATGTGAATACTTGGTTTTTGCAGGGAAGCCACATTTGGATCCATTTGTGCTTTGAAAAAGATACCATTTTTTTTTTCGCTGTTCTGTGAGTGAAAGGAAGGTACCTTAAGCTTGAAATTGCCTCCTTGGAATTCCAAATTTGTCATCCAGACGATCAGTGCCTGTAAGGGTTAAGCCATCCAGTTCCTGTGTGCCCTTCTGTCCCGCAAACACTGCTCTGTGTGAATGGCTGCTGCTCTGGTACTCGCCCTCTAGCGCGTTGTCCTCGGCAGAACGACTCCGGGAGCAGGAGTGCGAGGAGGTGGAGGGTCACGGAGTGGAGGAGACTGTTGTTCATGGTGAAGGAGCTTCTCCCATTGTAGTAGGCGGCAGAAAAATGAGAAGGTTTAAAATCTTGGAAACCAGTTGTGCTCTTGACAGATGTGAACAGCTGGAATTCCTTAATGCTCAACTGTGTGGTTTTCTCTGTTGCAGTTGTCCAAAGGGTATTGAGAATTAGATTTGCTTACTGAATTCCTGGTAATCCTTGTGGTCTGCTGCTTCAGTGATTTTAAAAAATGGAAAGCCATACCTGAAAACTGACACTCTATTCAGTATATAGTTTTGATTTAAACTTGGGACTTTTCTATTTATTTAAAAAACAAAATACTTTTTTTCTAATGTTTGATTTACTTTATGTAAGTTGAAATTTAATCTTCCATTTGTTTTTCTTTAAACTTTTTAAAGGTACCAGACTACTATGATATCATCAAGAAACCTATTGCCTTAAATATAATCCGTGAAAAAGTGAAYAAATGTGAATACAAATTAGCATGTAAGTATTCCTTAGTGAAGGAGGTGATGAGCCCTGTTCTCTTATCACTTTAAAATATTTTCCTGTCTGGAAATAGAGCTGTATCAGAGGATTAGGAAGCTGTAATTGTGTTTTTGAAAGAATGCTTAGGTTTTTATTAAGTAGGCTTTGCTGAACATAGTTCTTGTACTACCAGAACGAGTGATGTACAGAGAGGAAACGAGCAGCGGGGGCACTGCAGGTAATTTGCCAAGGCCTCGGTGTCAGTGGATCACCTTGACAGAGCATGTAGGAAAGGATCAGTTGCAGTTGCTTGGTGTGCATGTCCTCTGTGCGTGACGCGAGGACTCTAGGAACGTCTGCGTGGCAGCTCGCTGGGATAGGTACCGAGCCAAGGGTGTCTGTGTGCGGGCAGCTGGGCGAGCGGTGAGGGCCGCTTGGGCCGCGCGCTCATCCATTCCCTTTTCCCCCCCAGCGGAGTTCATCGAAGACATTGAGCTGATGTTTTCCAACTGCTTTGAGTACAACCCTCGGAACACGAGCGAGGCCAAAGCCGGGACGCGCCTGCAGGCTTTCTTCCACATCCAGGCTCAGAAGCTGGGCCTGCCCGTGGCGGCCGGCGCCGGGGACCACGCCGCTCCGCCCGCCAAGAAGTCCCGCATCTAACCTCTGCCTTCCCGAGGGTGCTCGGAGGGAACCTCGGATGTTCGTTAAAATGAAACGTTAAATCATGCAGTCATCATACCTGTATAAAGCAATAACAACTGTTTAACCACCTTGAAGTGTGGCCTGCACTATATTCTCAATGTAATATTAAGCACTCAGGAGAACGTAGGAAAGATTACCTTTGCTACAGTTTTATTCAGTGTCTAATAATTTTGATAGATGTACTGGATACAGTACTGGTTTACAGAGGTTTTGTACATTTTTAATACATTCATGTGTCCAAATATCTTCCAGTGATACGCTGTTTTTTTTTCCTGCACCAAATGACCTTGTTTCATTCTCTAGATTTTCTAGGAGCTGTGGTATTGAGGGCTTTATCAACTCRGATAAAATCTTCTGCTGTAGCACAGTTGAAGAAACTGTGTGTGTGTTTAAAACTTGTCGGAGCCTGTCTTTACAACACTACACATGAATGAGTACAACTGCATATCCTTTAAGTACTGTACCAGTGCTGGCTGGAGGTATTCAGTCTGAGTTTATTAAGTAGATATTTATTTAGCATTCAAAGTAATTTGTGAATTTGTTTTGTATTTATAAAATTTGTACTTGGGGATTAAAAAGAAAACAAAAAAAAAAAAGAGAGAGAGTTCCATAACTTTTTTAATTTTTTCCTGTGTTTTTGTTTATTCTTCTCTAACTTCTTGATGATCAATCAATAAATACCTTCCCCTCTCCCTGGCAGTTCTTCTAGCAATGAGTAATTTACAGGACTGTATTATAAGTTTCTATGTACAACTTTCTAAGTGTACAAATAAAATGACACATTTTTCAAAGTACCTTGAGCTTGTGAAATTTTCTTCCAAACTGTGCTGTTCTACCCTCTCCCCTACTATCCTAGAGGGGGAAGCTGCTAAAAACCATGTGGGATTTGGCTCCAACCAGCATTTTCAGCAGCTGCAGCCACGCGCTGTCTCTCTGTCTTGCCTGGCCTCCAACTGACTGATGCGTGATGTCTGTGTAAGTTTTATGTCTTCTGTTATAATTAGGTTATTCTAACATTGTAAAACCTCATAGCTTTGTTTGAGGGTAGGAAAAACCTGCCAGGCAAGGATTTTGCTGCGGATACTGTCCTCTGTTTTGTGCCAGGTTCTGCTGCCGCACTCAGACCTCTGTTCGCTACAGACCTGGGCTGCTGCTTGCTCTTTCACTGKGAGTTTCTTCAGCTGCAGCAGGGCAGCCTTGGAGAGGATGAGAATGGAGGCCCTGGCGAGCCCAGGACATGGGTGGCAGATGGGGGACGGGGCAGCTTCATGTTTGAAAAGATGAATAATGCGGAGGGGGCTGTTGTCTAGAATTGTCAGTACTTAAAACTCTGAGTTTGACCTTGTTCATAGTCGACATCTGTCTTAGGCCCAGCTGAAGGACATGGAGATTTCTGGCCTTTCCACCATAGGCAATGTTAAAACRCTGAAGAGCGATGGGAAGGGCAGAGGTTGCCTTTGCCAGGGTGCAGGTTGTGCTCGGTGCCCTGTGTAGATCTGTGTAGTGCCTGGAGGGGATGAGCAGAGCGCAGCAGGCTGCGTGAACAGCTGTGCACGGCCCCACTCGCATGAATAGCTGCCATTGACTTCCCTGGGTATTTACGGGGGCCGCAGCGAGCCGAGCATCGCCTCTGTGGCAGGTGCGATTAAATTGGTTACTGTCCTCAGCCCCCTCCCAGCTGTCCTTCCTGGCGCCTTTTCTCCAAGTTTATTTCCTTCAATTACTTCCCCTCAGTGACGCAGCTGTAATTTGGAGGGAGCAGGTGGGAACAACTGAACCCCTTATCCGCTTGTGGCTCTATGTATGTTCCTTAGGCCGTCACTTTGCCACAAGATCTGCGAGTCTGAGGCTCAGGGTGCTGGGGTGGAGCAGAGAAGTGTGTGYGCTGCCTTTGGACCACGGTGCTGAAGATATCAATGTGTTCAGTGGTGCTAGAGGGCTCAGCTCTGGCTGCCTCAGTGCCTCTTGTTGTGTGCTCAGGCCCAGGGCACGGCCCGAACCCTCCTTTCCAGTGAATGGGGGCAYGGGCTGCTTTTCTTGCTGCTTTTCCAGACTTAAGCTCCGCTGGCTTTGACTTACTTCAAGAAGTCTCCTATTTCCCCCTCACACCCAGCTCTGCAGGAGGAGGAATCGCATCATATCTGCCCCCTCTTTGAGGGCCTGTGATGCTCACGCTGCGTCTGGCTTCTGTGAGCGCCTGTGCTGCCCTGGATCTCCTCCAAGAGCTGCGAGGGCGAGGAGAAAAGCCCGGCCTGGGAGCCCAGGGTGAGGAGAAAAGCCCGGCCTGGGAGCCCAGGGTGAGGAGAAGGGTCCAACCTGGGAGCCCAGGGCCGAGGCCTCATGAGGGTGTGGGAGTGGGAGGCTTAAATGGTGCAATTTCCAACCTGGGTCTTTGCTAAGCAGGTGCCATGTGGCTGCTTTAGCATCCAGCCCTCCTTGAGGTCCAAGTGCAGCATCTGCTTCCCAAGTAGGAAAATAAGATGAAGCAGTGAAAGTCTGTTTCTGTTGCGAGGATCTGCACAGTATCTTGGGCTCCCTCAGCCCCAGCACTTACCCAGAGACTGTTAAACCAGCTGCTTTTCCTGTTGTGCACATTCTGCCCCTTTCATTCATGGCAGAGCTGGGAAGGGCTGAGTAACAATCTTTTAAGGATTTTCTTTTGACTCTTTTTGTATGTAATAAGTCTTTCCTAACCATGGAGCTGCTTTCTTCAGGAAAACTGAGCTCCAAGATGAAATGCAGCCTCTTCCAGGAAACGCCATCATTTCCTCAAAGCCAACCAACTTAGCTCCTGGTAAGTGGCTTAGTGGCGGCTGGTATTGGATGCTGGAAGCAGGAGTCGGTCAGGAGGAGAAGGGCAGTTCCTCGAGCCAGCCGCAGGTGCTAAATGTGCAGCCCTGTGCACGGCTGGAGTCAAAGGGACGGTGTCTGCCGCGGTGTGAGGCAGCAGCACCAGTGCTGGGGAACTGTGCGGCCAGGGGCCTTCCTTCTCTCGGGAGGTGGGAGATGTTTGGAGTGGTCTTATCAAACATCAGATTCACTTTTTCACAATTGAATTCCTGGAAGCTTTTAATACTCCTGGAACACTGGAGCAGTTTTAACAGACAGTGTGATAGACGTGAGACAGGATGTGGAGYTGTGTACATCAGTTTTTCCGTGGTTTTCCAGGTACTGGAGATGTAACTTTCAAAGACCTTGAAGCAGGATATTTATTTTTAAAGCAACTGAAATTTCAAAATTTTTCATCTATGCAAACTAAAAATAAGTATGGCCTTCAGATTCTGCAGCCATGTTTTAAAGCCGATGCTACTTYAGCATCCACATTTTGGAACAGATGTGAGACATCTATGCTGGCTTAATTTATCTGCCTAATTTCTACCTAATTTGCAGCACAAGCGATTTCATCTTTTGCCTTTGACTTAATCCAAACATCTTCAAAGCTGCCTGCCCCTAAATGGGAAGCTCCTTTATCAGTAATTGGAGATTCTGCAGGAGCAGTTGCTGCGCACATGCACCCACACTGGGTACATATGATCAAGCTCTTCAAAGCAAAGGCTTTAATTAAAAGAAAATGTTTAGCTCAGTGACTGCCTCAATAACTCACATCCCATAAAACAAACACCTAGTCTCCTAGCTGACCTGTCCAGCAGCAGTGTTATGGGAGCTGAGAGTCTGGTGACTTGTGGTGTCCCAAAGGACCTCCTCACTACCCACGTCCATAGAAGAATCCCCACTTTGGGCTATCGTAGTTCTATGGATCATCAGTTGCCGGGCACACTGCAGTTGGTCGCTACATCAAGCTGGGCTTTGCAAGGTCCAGAGATCTCTTCCTCCCACAGCTTGTGCACAGAGGTTCAGACTGGTTTCTGGCACCCATCTTTGCTAAGATAATGCTATGATCACCTAGTGCCAAAGTTGGAGGTGCACTCTCCTATGATGCATAAAATGCAATTTTTCCACCCTCTACACAAGGACCATTCAGCACTGGGTGCAGCCCAAATCTTCACCAGGCAGTTTCTATTAGTTTCACAAAGCAGGCCAGGGCAGCCCACAACAAGGAACCAAATCCCAGGAGCCAACTTGATTTCATCTCAGCTTCACCCCAACTTGCTTTTTCTTAAGACTATTAGGGAGATCAAGACTGGAACAAAGGCTTACACCAAGGCAAACAGGAATGCATTTAATCCTAGATTGCTTTAAAATGGAAAACTGGTATTTCTTGTCAGCATGAAAAGCAGGACAGTTTGCTGCTTTAGAAGCTGGTCTTTGAAAGTTACGTCTCCAGTACCTGAAAAAACATGGAAAAACTGATTCAGTCAAGTTGTGCTGGGAACACAACCCAGCTTCCTCCTGCCTCCACCCTACGCAGCTTCCAGCGTTCTGACCAGCAGGGACAAYGTATGGGATTGTGTTTAAACTTTTTAAATTATTTTTCAAGCAATTGGACAAAGCTGTTTTGCTGTTTGTGAAACACTTCAGCCTTAGCCAGGCTCCTCCGGACTGATACTCAGAGCTGTTTTCTGCCAGCGARATACTTCTGCTGACCAGTGCTTTCTAATTTGGAGCATGTTAAAATGCATAACGTCAACATGAAGCACCCCTGAAATGCTTTCCGTGGTGGAAATCCACAGTCCATATGTATTTTCAAAACAACAGAGGCCAACTTTGTGTTTGCTTCTCTACGTTATTGTATGATTTTCCTGGGTTTACAGTGCTGCTTTTGTGGAATATGGCAATCTTTATGATCCTTAAAACTAATTCTCTGTTTTTTGTTTCTTGCCTGCAAGTTCCTCTTCAAAAATGTTTAGGTGTGAAAGCAGGGGGAAAAAAGGCTTTCCCGAGACCTCAAGGGCRTAAGGGCATCGGCTGTTGCCTTTGGAGGGCTCCACGTCGCGACCCTCGGCCTTGGGCCTCGGCCTTGGGCCTCGCTGCTGCGCAGGCCGCCCGCCTCTGGTGACGGCCACGTTTGGCCAGCCACGCTCCCCGTAACCACTACAGCAGCTTTCACTTATTCTTCTCGACAGCAGTTCGGGTTTCCTTTCTTAGACCTCTTTCAAAGGCCTATGAAAGACAGAGCCTTTATTCTAGCCTCTCGGTGACTCTCCTCCGGCCTCATGTTGATCATAGCATGGTGGTCACAACATGTAATTTTGGGGCTCTGGTTTTAGTGGTACCATATGGGGGAACTGAAAATCATGTTTGCTGTGTAATTTCCCATGTGATATGTAACAAAGTTATCTTTGTAGAAGATATTCATGCTCTGGTAGGGTTACGTGCAGTCAAACATGGGTTTTGTTGATTTGCTAGCATTGATTTACTTTTTCATTTATGCTTTATATAACTATTCCCTAGATTAATAATCCTATAAGAATATATGTAGAAATCCATGTCCTTTTTTATTTCATTCTTTTTTTTTTTCCCTTTCAGATATCTTAAAACAAACTAGTTTGGATAGGAAGGGACTTYGGAGAGGCCAGAGGTTCTGTGTCTCAGCTCCTACAAAGCATCTATTTGAATGTCGGAATGTGGTGCAGGGTGCCGAAACCCTTGAGTTTGGGATCCAAGGGGTGAATTTGATTCTGGGCAGCCTGTGGATTTGCCTGTGGGACCAGGAGGTTCCAGGGGCCCTTGGTGAGTGTTTCTTGCGTGGAGCCCCCATTAGAGCCACGTGCTGGGCACCTCTCGAGAGGACTGTTGTCCCCAGAGGCCCTTTGGCACCGACCCCCAGGCCCAGTGAGGCAGCAACGGTTATAAATATTCCTGTGTCCGAGACATCCTAATGC